CCACCAAAGCCACATCCTTGAGACAATCCAACATCATTATCTCTGAATCCTTGGTAGTCACTTTGTCCCTGTGCAAAACCGCCTCTGGAACCTCCCCTTGGTGCTCCTCTTGGCCTTCCCTTGTACCCTCCTCTTTGCTTTGCATTTTGGCCTCGATTACCTTGGTAACCGCCCCTGTTTTCCGCCCTGGTATCGTCAAAGCTATCTCTTCTCAAGTCTTGTATCTCTCCATGTTCCTTGGGCATGTCATTGTCGCTTCTAATCCTATTTCTCCTCTTTTTTCCTCGGAAATTCCTCGGCTGATCAGTTCTTCTAGAACTCGTTTCCTCTACAGTACCTGTCAAGGGCTTGACTGTCGGTGGGCTTTTGAATATGTCCTGTGGATTTTCCATATCTTGAAATTCCTGTAGCCGCTGGCTTGCTATTGCAACGTTTCCCTTGACGTCATCGCCATTTAGAACTCTTCTGATCAGGACTGGTGGCAAACAGCTGAAAATTTCCTCAAGCTTTTTCAGTTTTTCTTCCATCTCCTCGGGGTCTTCGTCTTGTACGTTCTTGCTAGTAACAGATGACATCTCCGCTGTCAAATTATTTTTAGCCTTCTCTTCCCCATTGTCATCTTCTGACTCAACAAAGCGACTGACATCAAAATCGTCTTCCTCTTCTTCGAAATTTTCGTCTTGTTCTTCCTCTTCTTCATATTCATCCTCTGTAAATCAAAGTTCATTAAAAGATATTTTGGAACGTCATGGTCACTCATACACATTATAAGAGTGATGAACAAAATTGACTTCAATCGAAGGAAAGGTAACGTTTGACTAGAACTAAAAACTAATCCGGATATTTGAGATAAGCGAAAATTGATACAAAATTCCAATAATAAACGTGAAATATAGACACGTCATTCTTAGCCTGATTCTCACACGGTCCAGGTCATTCCCAGCCACGCACAGAAAGAGTGCATGGCCGCGAGAGACCTGGACCGTCTGAGAATTCGTGACTGAGTTCGTTTAGAAATCCCGAAGGACAAAGGGATCCCACGCGTTAGACTGTGTCTCTTTCATATCGGCGCTCGATCTGTCAAAGAGTTGGCCGTTCGGCCATTATGTTTTGGCTTTCATTGTGCTATAATCCCGTAGAACAGTGCCGTCTGTCTGTTTATCAGTCAATTTTTCGGTCTTAAGATAATTACGATTGTGATGTGACATACAGTCAGTGTGTTCATGAATAAATATTTTTGGAGATATTCAGCAGTACTCGAGGTACTAGATTTATTTAGTGCAGTCTGCTGTTTCCCAGTATCAAGGTTAATTTTGGATGTTTTAGCCCTCACCTAATTAAGCAAAAATGATAGCAGTTTTAGAAAAGAAAAATTTGGTGTACGATATCACATTACTTCCGCCTTGGGAAATAAATTTCCCCTCCACAAACAGGGGGATTACCCTTTAACGGGGACAACAAAACAACGTTATTTATATAGACTGAATGGGACAACTAAAATTGACAACAAGCATTGAGTGATTTTCAAATTTTAAACATTTATTCCACGCAGAACGTTGCATCCATTACGGGAACTGGGTAGTTCTTGAATGTATCTTTGATTGCAACGAAAACATGATGAATATATGATACAGAACTGACCGAAACTAGCTAAATAAATCGCTTTTCCCGCTAATAATAGTTTAGTAAGCCATACAGTAAAATCAAAAGTAATATCTAACTAAACATTCTCTGACAACACCACTGTCGAATAATTCTATCGCATGGCTAAACACATAACTACATTTTTACCTGATCTTCGAATTTCACTCACTTACCATGATAGAAAGAGTTGTCCATCGCCGATGTAACTGTTAAAATCTCGCTCCAGTGGCTTTGAAACCGGAGGAAGTTCTAAATGGAAGCGTGGTGTTACATGTTAGTAACTTTATAGAAAGTGAAACGTATCATATTCACTTATTTCAGCTACATTTGAAGAACTTCATATTTATAATCCACCTTAATGCCAAAAATCGAAATCAACGTGCAGCCCTCGCCAATAGTTTTCCTGGAAGGATTACCGGACAAATAGCTACGGCTTCATGAGTCTAAATTACTTCTGCAGGCGTGTAAGTGAACCTAGTAAGCGCATATAATATATTTGTTACAGAGGAAACAAATTCATCGACTTCGTTCATAAACAAACCTAAACGAAAACACTGAGTCAACACAAGGCGACTTGATCATGAAGTTAGGCTAAAATCATCCTTACAGATCCTTAATAACTTACCTCTGATCTGTATAAACTTGCAACTGGTCGGTTTCAATGCTTCTTACGAAAGATAAACCAACATGGAATTTGCCGTGTTGCAGTTTCACTTTGGTGTTTTGAATGAAATTATCGTCTGAAATAGACACTTCCGGTTTTCTAGGAAAAATATCAGGAGAAAGAGAGACTGGGAACGAGCCAAATCACAACGGCGACAAGCGACTTCCGCTTCCCATCTGATCAAGAATAACCTGTCTTTCTGGTATATTCACGGTATATTAGACGCAGTATGAGCCTAAAAGAATGACAAAGTTAAGAACAAATTTACTTTCTGTTTTTTTTTTTTACTGATTTAGGGAAAGCGGCTGAAATTGGTAAAAGCCACTGGCTGAACTGAAGGGGACAATCTCTATCTCATCAACCTCCCTTCCCCGAGAATAAAATTGAAATAGCGGGGTCTTTGTTCATAATATTTACCTTATTGACATAAACACTTCAATCTTTGAATGTTGAGAGGGTATGGAACGAAGAACTTCGGACACTCTTCGGAGCCCGATGTATTAATCACTTGTTGCGTGACGCGTGTTCAAAAACTAAACTTTTGCAATGAATGTATTGTCTTTGTGTGGGCCTATTAGCGCTTTTGCCGCCCAGAAATTCAAATATTGCTGTTTTTGAAAACATATATTCGTATTTCCTTCAATAAGAAATCATCAAGCATCTAAGAAATCTAAGAAATCACCAAGCATCTACAATGTCAGGAGTCAGTTCATACCTTGCATGACGTCTCATCTAAAGTCGTATGCTAATTGGGTAACCCGGAAAAAATTCCTACAAGTCCATCATAGGTCTGGCAGGATGCGGGATGAGAGTTAAAATGGGGACGGGATGCGGGATGTCAGAAATTTTAATTGCGGGATGAGGGGTAAAATTTCTTCGGCGGGAGCGGGTTTTGCTCTTGTCAACAGGCGGGATGCGGGATTAGTTTTTAAAATTGACAGCGGGATGCGCAATGAAAAGCAGTAAATCACAGGTTACGGACGTGACGCGGAGACCTGTGACTCTAATCAGGCGGGATCTGGATAAACATTCTGAGTGGGGCGGGATGGCGGGATATAGCCAAAAGCGTGGCAGGATACGGAATTGATAAACTAGTAAGAGTGAAAAGGTACGTAAGCCCCGGGGGGGGGGGGNATTTTGGTCTCGCTTAGGATGTTCTGGGCAAAATGTCATCATTTTTAGCCGTCAAGGTCTCGTTAAGGGTTGCACGCGAAGAAATAACAAAACAGAAAGAATTTTGATTCTTTATACTTAGTCAATTCATATAAACAAATTCGCCATCATTAAAAGTCACTGTACTTTTTATTTGTCTGTTTTATAAACTGGTCTCTTTTAGAGGTCTGCATAAGCTTCGGCCACGCCCAGATTGGTCTCCTTTAGGGGTTAAATTCAAAATTTCCGACGAGCATCCCCGTCCACTCCATATGGGAGTCCCCCCCAGGACGTAAGCTTTATTCAATGAGAGTGACACCAGTGGCATATTTACACAATAGAAACTGTTGACGCCCTCCAATAAATTATCACTAATTAATTAATTACAGTACCAAAGTTCAAAAGTTTGACAAAATAGATATACAAAAGTGTAAGCCCTGACCTTCACAAATATAAAAGCTACTAAACACTACAGTAGAACTCTGGTAACTCGAAGTCTGAAGGGAAACGAAAAACAGTTCGAGTTAGCGGGGTCTACTGAATATCCAACTCGCCATGTTAATAATTGATAGTTTACTGATTTTTCAGCGCTTCAGTATACGGTGACAGCTAAAGGCACCGCATCCAGTATGACTCATAACATCGGGAAATGACTGTCAAATATGTGAACGGTCTGTTGCACTAATAGGCCCTTTGCAGGATTCGGTCACATGGTACGGAATAAATTATGCTGGGACGCAAGTTACACAGTGGGACTTCCAAAACAAAGGAACTCGTACCAATCCGGCCCGACTTTCCTTTGTTTTAGAAGTCCCACTGTGCAACTTGCGTCCCAGCATAATTTATTCCGTACCATGTGACCGGATCGTGCAAAGGGCCTATTAAAATCAAATTGCTGTGGTGTTAGTTTTGAGTGTTTTTACCGATTACACGATAAGAAAAGCTAATGGGATGACGTCCCTGGCGAGCTACATGAACCAGAATTCGAGTTATCGGGGTAAATTTTTATCAAGGGAAAAGAAATTCAGTTCGAGTTAGCAAGAAATTTAAGTTATCCGAGTTCGAGTTAACCGAGTTAAAATGACTGAAAAGTGGGGTCAAATCCAAAGAAAATGGGACTTGGTTCGAGTTACCGGGGTTCTACTGATCTTGCATGGCATGTAAAAAAATAACTTGCTATAAAAATTACCTCGTTGGATATTATAATAGAGATTACTGGTAAAACAAAATCAGCAAAAATTAAGTTGACTAAAACACATTAACATTAGTATTGTACTTTCCAGTGATTAGATTTTAGCAAAAGAATTTTCCAGACAAGAGGGCTTATCACGGTTTTCGACGCTACCTTGACGAGTAGGCAAAGCGGTCAGAAGTTATAGTGTTTGTATGGGAATGCGAAGGCAAATAACGTTTTCCAAACTGAATTTTACACAATTTGTGAATTGCAACGTTAAAATGCTGAGTGGAAGATTGCATTCGCCGAGTTTGAAGGATGTAGCTTGGCTAGAAGACGCTTAGTTAATTTTCTAATTGTTCTTTACCACCGCAAGGAAGACAACCCGAGCATTATATAGGTCAATTTCCGTGGTGAAAATGTGCAACTGTTGTGAATAATTAACTCTATAAATTGACGTCATTTTCATTCTAGAAAGTAAGAAGATATTCCGGGTAGCACTGATTGTCATAATATGTGACAAAGATTGAAGGGAACTTCATGTCATTCACCATGGAATCAAACAGGATCTCTGGCTGCTTGAGGTTTATGGGCGGAGGCTTCTTCATGTTCGGGCTCCCTTTACAATATCGCCCCACTAGGACCCGGGCGAGGTACATAACCCTCCGACTGCCCCCAGTGTAATCCATAGAATAGGAGGCATCTCTTGCGAAGTACACTCCTGTACCGTATATAGCTCCTGAAACATAGATGTAATACGCATTTTGTTATTTAGTGGGAAAGTGCAGACTACAGTTAAAAGTGAAGTATGTGATACAATTCTCTTTGTCTATAAAACTTAGCTATTAACTGAGTTTAGGGGCGTATCTAGAGAAGGTAAGTTGGGTGGTTAGCCACTCCCTCTTTGGAGGAACTAAAATTAAGAAAACTTAATTGAAAACAGTTGTGAATATCATGAAAGAAATAAAGGCAAACTTCCTGGGCAGGTGCTTCATCATAATTTTTACTTTGTGCTGATTGCTAATATTTCTGGTGTAACAGTATTCAATTAGGTTCCATTTCTCAAATTGTCACATATTGGGGGATGTCCCGTTGATTCTCAAACCCCAAGATACCAGCCAACACCCCCCGCCCCTCAATCCCCTTGAAAAATCCTGTATCAGCCCCTGGAATTTACTTAAACCTTTGAATATCAAACTTTCGCCAAAAAATACCGTTTTTAACCGTTAGGCAGGTTTTTTAGCTGCCATGACGCTACATAAGCCTAAGTTTTGCTAAGAAAGCTTTTTTTTACTAAAAGGAGAGATTTTTCGAGGATTAGGTACAAAATTGAGCAAAATTTTAATTCCGGGCATGCGCATAAGCGTGGACCATTCTACCACCGCTTTTGCACCGAAACTGATAACGTTGTTTTTCGATTTGCGACATCGGAATGTCGTCGATATCTAAACCTGACCATTGTGCGGGAAGGCCTAGCCTAGTACTACCATCTGCTTATCAATAATATCAGGTGATATTTAAATTGATGACGTCGCAAGTAGTACAAAGAGCACGACCATTAAGTGGCCGTATATGGCTACTTGGGCGTCAAAGGGTTAAAAGCATAAACCTCTCACCGTGTACAGATCCTGTAAAACTTCTGTCAAATCCTTGAGTGTTGATTTTCGTTATGTTGGCTGAATTGGTGCCATGGAACAATCCCTTCTCATTGTTTTCTTGGGGGTTTTCACGGTCCATCTTTATTTTCCGTAGTTGGTAAGCCTGGTAGAGATAAGGATTTTGTATTCGCTCGATGCTCTTGATTTTCTCGATATAGACGGTTTCATTAAATTTTTTCTCAACGTCCCGGTACTCAGGCGACGAGCTCGATAGTTTCACCAGATGAACGGTGACATCATTTCCCTTGTCATCAGTTGGCATCGGTATCCAATTCCTGGGCAGTACGCTTCCTATGGACCGGACAGAAACGATACTATAATTATCAAAACAGATTGGCCTATAATAAACTGTTCACAGTCTCTTTATTTTTCGACGCACGCGAAAGAAAAAGCGAACGAAGCGAGCTTGAGGCACGCGGGGGTAAGGGTGGGGAGGCGAACGAAACGAGCCAAACGAAGAATCTATCAGTTTCTCGGTCCCTACCCCATACCCTGTCATGTCTCCCGTTTTGCACTGGCATTCAATTCTCTCGTGGTTTTATCCGCGCGTTCAACGATTGAATAAAAATACGATGAAATCTGTAAATACTCTAGGCCTATTACGCTAATCTAGGATTAAACGCCACGCAACTGAATTGAGATGTAAAATTGTTTTCAAGTTGTCGCTTTGGCGCGCGAAGTAGCTTGCGATGTTCTTTAGATCGTCTGCCGAATAGCACTTTTAGTGAGATGTTTCCTGGACATCCCCTTAAGTAAAAGTTCTACTGATCAGCAGACAATGAAAGGAACATCGCAAGATGTAAAATTGTTTTTTTTCTCACTGCTGACGATTTGTAGAGTTTGAGAAGTTAAAGTCAAAATTGAAGGACAATGATTATAGAAACTCCACCAATCAATCCTACAGTCTCAAACTGAGCTAAAAATTCATGCCGACTCTTGGTTTGTCTTAAATTTGCTCCAAAAAACTGGCGAATTTCCACTAATTATCCTATCAACTTAACTGAGCTAACATGAAGAGCATATAAAAGCGCACCCCAAAGGGCAAGTAATTCCATTACAAGACTCAATGCCAATGAGCGTTAACTAGCGAAAAATTCAAACGGAACAAAGATCTTTACATTTTATTTCTTATGTCATGAAATCTTTTTTACCTCTTCTCCCCAGATTTTGTTCCTCGAAGTTTATCTTTGCCTTGTTAGTCAGCTGAGCCTTTTTTGGTGGCAAAGGTGGCGGACATGTGAGGTGAGCCTGTTTTGGCAGCAAAGGTGGCGGACATGTGAGGTGAGCCTGTTTTGGCGGCAAAGATGGCGGTAGTGTTGGTTGTGCCTGTTTTGGCGGCAAAGGTGGCAGAATTGTGAGCTGCGCTTGTTTTGGTGGTAATGGCGGCGGTATTGTTTGCTGTGCATGGGGGGCGGGCGATGAGGGCATTGGCCATGCACGTGGTGGGGATGGTGAGGATGTTTGTTGTACATGTGGTGGGGATGGTGACGGTGTTTTTTGAACATGTGATGGGGATGGTGACGATGTTTGTTGTACATGTGGTGGGGACGGTGAAGCTGTTGACGGAGCTGACGTATCGTTCGGTGGTCGTGACCCTTCTCGTGACTCCTTGATTCTTTCATAGTATTCTGTTAAAAGATGGAAAAACCAGTTATTTGTTATGATTTCCATTCCTACTAGATCAGTGATATCCCGGGGGGAACTCCCGCATAAAAAAGGAGTGGGATGCTCACGAGTCTGAAATGTTGAAAAGAACCCGTAAGAGGTACCAAAATCCTTTTTTGTGGGCTTGGCTTGAAATATTTTCACCCCTAAGAGGTACCAATTCTGAAACAACACATTATCTCCTGTCAATTTTTTTTTTTCGGTTTAATCAGGCCCTGAGGTACCAAATCCGCCTTTTTAACCCCTTAAAGGTACGACGAGCACCCCCCGTCATTTTTACATCGGAGTCCCCTCCGCTCTCCCTGCCGGGAGTGATATATACTTAAGAAACTCTCTCAACCAGAGTGCGCTGCGGTTGTTTGTTGATTCATCCGTGGAAGGCGTTACTTTCTGTCGAGGACAAATAATAGGCAATTGGCAACAGGTCATGAAATGAATATCAAATATACAACCGGAAGTCGCCTGCTCAGGCAATGATCTCTGAGGTATAATGTATCTATCAGTTATACCTTCGCGTTCCGCTTGACGGTTAATTTATTTTCTCGTCTCTTTCGTTTTCCTCCGTCCACGCAAACTACTTCTACTGTTAAAAATACGACCCTTTTAATTTGCAAGCATCGCCAGTAATCCTTAGTGAAAGATTTCGGTGTCTTTTTTTTTCGTTTGGGTTTCTTCTTAGCATTTGAAAGACGGCAAAACCTTTGCTTTTCTTCTTTGACGACATGAAAAATATTAGCTTACAATTTGTTGTCGGAAAAACCTTGACGTGCTCGCGGAAGTTGTGATGTATAAACAATCTTGCCCGTGTCATGTGACCGAGTTACAAACTGATAACAGCTATCAATCAGAGGTAACTATAGACAGAACTGTTTTTCCCCAATAACCTCGTTTAGAGTTAATCATTTTTCCGTGAATTTTTTTAATAAAAGGTCTCAAAAATATCTATCTGAAGTAACAAAAAAATCGATTTTTCTTCAAAATTGTCTTAATCTTGCTTACAGACCATAGAGCCAAAAGTTTCATGGAACCTGGCAGAGCGATTTTCCGAGAAGAACTGCCAATCAAATTAGCCAATGAATGTTTGTGCCTTTTTATCTAATTTTGCTCCTGTCGCAAGTTAAGAAACATCCTTTTAAAATTTCCAAGCCCACCAGTCTGGTTTAGGTTTTATAACTTTGTACTTCTCTAAATTAAACCTAAGTTCAAAATACAAAAAAATATATTTTTCTCCAAAATTGTCTTAATCTTGCTTACAGACCATAGAGCCAAAAGTTTCATGGTATCTGGCAGAGCGATTTTCCGAGAAGAACTGCCAATCAAATTAGCCAATGAATGTTTGTGTTTTTTATCTAATTTTGCTCCTGTCGCAAGTTAAGAAACATCCTTTTAAAATTTCCAAGCCCACCAGTTTCGCTTGGGTTTTATAACTTTGTTCTTCTTTAAATTAAATCTAAGTTCAGAAGTCAATGAACCTATTTTTGTTCTTGATGGCAATTTTTTTCATTTGTTATTGCAAAGTTTCGACAACGTGGTTTTGCCACAGGTTTTGAGGTAATTTTGCTGGTAATTTTTAATTTTATTGTGATGTTTACACAACATCAAAAACATTTGAAAATGTATTTTACATACGTCAAAAACAAGTCGAATTCTCGGAAATCAAGGCCGTGCATGCGCATGCGCCTGGTGGACCTGAAACAAACAACCAGGGAAAATAAGCCATTGAAACAAATAGAAAGTGAAATTAAACTGTGAGTTAGCGAGGAACCTTTTTAAAATCTTAAAAATCTGTCCATATGCGAGAACCTTTCCGTTAACCTTTTGGTTGATTAGCATTTGGTTTACTGAGGGTCCTTAACTATGCAGACTGATTCTTACCACGTGGCTTCCACGACTTTGGTTCTGATGCTGGTTTCTGTGGATCTGATGCCTTCCTTGCTTCTGTCTTGACATACAGGGCGGTCTTGGTTTCCTCATTCGTCTCAATCGTCATCTCTCCAGGATTTCGTTGAAAACTGGTTAAGATTTGTAACATCACGTCTAGAACTGTTTCAGCTTATTTTACAATCGGAACGGGTTATCAACGAAATGTGAAATTGATCACTGAAAATTTGATTTAGTTCTCCGTTTCAATATTCTGTTCTTGAAACGAATACATCAATCCTCGCTGAGCCACGACGCGATTCAAACATGATGGTTGGTATTGTATTTCTGGATATGAATAAACGCGATCGGGCAGGTGACGGTCAGTCCTCACTTTGCATACAATACGCTCTGTATTTACTTCTCCCCTCTACACTGCCTGTCCGACAAAGTATTAGATTTATCTGTCTGTCAGGTCAAGTTATATTTTCGTGCATTATTTCTGTTTGCGTTTGATTTAATTATGCACCTGACATACATACGAATCAAATATTTGCGAAGTGAAGCGCCAGCGGTTTAGGTCAGGTCTTATCATGTCGTCATAGCTTAAAATATACATACATCAGCAAAGGAGATATGAGCTCTGATATAACAGCGCTAGCGTTAGCGACCAAACGCGATCAGTAATGGCTTAACCGCTATCTCCGAAGAACGCTTTGAAAAAGAATAATGTCTTGCCGAGGTTGCCTTGTTAACAAAACTAATTTAGCGAGGCGAAATATTACTGGAGATACTTTGAATCAGTCTTTGCACTGCCACATAATCGTAGTTTTTGCTTCTCCATCAAGCTCTACAAAGACAGAACATACCCCTNTCCGGCCCGACTTTCCTTTGTTTTAGAAGTCCCACTGTGCAACTTGCGTCCCAGCATAATTTATTCCGTACCATGTGACCGGATCGTGCAAAGGGCCTATTAAAATCAAATTGCTGTGGTGTTAGTTTTGAGTGTTTTTACCGATTACACGATAAGAAAAGCTAATGGGATGACGTCCCTGGCGAGCTACATGAACCAGAATTCGAGTTATCGGGGTAAATTTTTATCAAGGGAAAAGAAATTCAGTTCGAGTTAGCAAGAAATTTAAGTTATCCGAGTTCGAGTTAACCGAGTTAAAATGACTGAAAAGTGGGGTCAAATCCAAAGAAAATGGGACTTGGTTCGAGTTACCGGGGTTCTACTGATCTTGCATGGCATGTAAAAAAATAACTTGCTATAAAAATTACCTCGTTGGATATTATAATAGAGATTACTGGTAAAACAAAATCAGCAAAAATTAAGTTGACTAAAACACATTAACATTAGTATTGTACTTTCCAGTGATTAGATTTTAGCAAAAGAATTTTCCAGACAAGAGGGCTTATCACGGTTTTCGACGCTACCTTGACGAGTAGGCAAAGCGGTCAGAAGTTATAGTGTTTGTATGGGAATGCGAAGGCAAATAACGTTTTCCAAACTGAATTTTACACAATTTGTGAATTGCAACGTTAAAATGCTGAGTGGAAGATTGCATTCGCCGAGTTTGAAGGATGTAGCTTGGCTAGAAGACGCTTAGTTAATTTTCTAATTGTTCTTTACCACCGCAAGGAAGACAACCCGAGCATTATATAGGTCAATTTCCGTGGTGAAAATGTGCAACTGTTGTGAATAATTAACTCTATAAATTGACGTCATTTTCATTCTAGAAAGTAAGAAGATATTCCGGGTAGCACTGATTGTCATAATATGTGACAAAGATTGAAGGGAACTTCATGTCATTCACCATGGAATCAAACAGGATCTCTGGCTGCTTGAGGTTTATGGGCGGAGGCTTCTTCATGTTCGGGCTCCCTTTACAATATCGCCCCACTAGGACCCGGGCGAGGTACATAACCCTCCGACTGCCCCCAGTGTAATCCATAGAATAGGAGGCATCTCTTGCGAAGTACACTCCTGTACCGTATATAGCTCCTGAAACATAGATGTAATACGCATTTTGTTATTTAGTGGGAAAGTGCAGACTACAGTTAAAAGTGAAGTATGTGATACAATTCTCTTTGTCTATAAAACTTAGCTATTAACTGAGTTTAGGGGCGTATCTAGAGAAGGTAAGTTGGGTGGTTAGCCACTCCCTCTTTGGAGGAACTAAAATTAAGAAAACTTAATTGAAAACAGTTGTGAATATCATGAAAGAAATAAAGGCAAACTTCCTGGGCAGGTGCTTCATCATAATTTTTACTTTGTGCTGATTGCTAATATTTCTGGTGTAACAGTATTCAATTAGGTTCCATTTCTCAAATTGTCACATATTGGGGGATGTCCCGTTGATTCTCAAACCCCAAGATACCAGCCAACACCCCCCGCCCCTCAATCCCCTTGAAAAATCCTGTATCAGCCCCTGGAATTTACTTAAACCTTTGAATATCAAACTTTCGCCAAAAAATACCGTTTTTAACCGTTAGGCAGGTTTTTTAGCTGCCATGACGCTACATAAGCCTAAGTTTTGCTAAGAAAGCTTTTTTTTACTAAAAGGAGAGATTTTTCGAGGATTAGGTACAAAATTGAGCAAAATTTTAATTCCGGGCATGCGCATAAGCGTGGACCATTCTACCACCGCTTTTGCACCGAAACTGATAACGTTGTTTTTCGATTTGCGACATCGGAATGTCGTCGATATCTAAACCTGACCATTGTGCGGGAAGGCCTAGCCTAGTACTACCATCTGCTTATCAATAATATCAGGTGATATTTAAATTGATGACGTCGCAAGTAGTACAAAGAGCACGACCATTAAGTGGCCGTATATGGCTACTTGGGCGTCAAAGGGTTAAAAGCATAAACCTCTCACCGTGTACAGATCCTGTAAAACTTCTGTCAAATCCTTGAGTGTTGATTTTCGTTATGTTGGCTGAATTGGTGCCATGGAACAATCCCTTCTCATTGTTTTCTTGGGGGTTTTCACGGTCCATCTTTATTTTCCGTAGTTGGTAAGCCTGGTAGAGATAAGGATTTTGTATTCGCTCGATGCTCTTGATTTTCTCGATATAGACGGTTTCATTAAATTTTTTCTCAACGTCCCGGTACTCAGGCGACGAGCTCGATAGTTTCACCAGATGAACGGTGACATCATTTCCCTTGTCATCAGTTGGCATCGGTATCCAATTCCTGGGCAGTACGCTTCCTATGGACCGGACAGAAACGATACTATAATTATCAAAACAGATTGGCCTATAATAAACTGTTCACAGTCTCTTTATTTTTCGACGCACGCGAAAGAAAAAGCGAACGAAGCGAGCTTGAGGCACGCGGGGGTAAGGGTGGGGAGGCGAACGAAACGAGCCAAACGAAGAATCTATCAGTTTCTCGGTCCCTACCCCATACCCTGTCATGTCTCCCGTTTTGCACTGGCATTCAATTCTCTCGTGGTTTTATCCGCGCGTTCAACGATTGAATAAAAATACGATGAAATCTGTAAATACTCTAGGCCTATTACGCTAATCTAGGATTAAACGCCACGCAACTGAATTGAGATGTAAAATTGTTTTCAAGTTGTCGCTTTGGCGCGCGAAGTAGCTTGCGATGTTCTTTAGATCGTCTGCCGAATAGCACTTTTAGTGAGATGTTTCCTGGACATCCCCTTAAGTAAAAGTTCTACTGATCAGCAGACAATGAAAGGAACATCGCAAGATGTAAAATTGTTTTTTTTCTCACTGCTGACGATTTGTAGAGTTTGAGAAGTTAAAGTCAAAATTGAAGGACAATGATTATAGAAACTCCACCAATCAATCCTACAGTCTCAAACTGAGCTAAAAATTCATGCCGACTCTTGGTTTGTCTTAAATTTGCTCCAAAAAACTGGCGAATTTCCACTAATTATCCTATCAACTTAACTGAGCTAACATGAAGAGCATATAAAAGCGCACCCCAAAGGGCAAGTAATTCCATTACAAGACTCAATGCCAATGAGCGTTAACTAGCGAAAAATTCAAACGGAACAAAGATCTTTACATTTTATTTCTTATGTCATGAAATCTTTTTTACCTCTTCTCCCCAGATTTTGTTCCTCGAAGTTTATCTTTGCCTTGTTAGTCAGCTGAGCCTTTTTTGGTGGCAAAGGTGGCGGACATGTGAGGTGAGCCTGTTTTGGCAGCAAAGGTGGCGGACATGTGAGGTGAGCCTGTTTTGGCGGCAAAGATGGCGGTAGTGTTGGTTGTGCCTGTTTTGGCGGCAAAGGTGGCAGAATTGTGAGCTGCGCTTGTTTTGGTGGTAATGGCGGCGGTATTGTTTGCTGTGCATGGGGGGCGGGCGATGAGGGCATTGGCCATGCACGTGGTGGGGATGGTGAGGATGTTTGTTGTACATGTGGTGGGGATGGTGACGGTGTTTTTTGAACATGTGATGGGGATGGTGACGATGTTTGTTGTACATGTGGTGGGGACGGTGAAGCTGTTGACGGAGCTGACGTATCGTTCGGTGGTCGTGACCCTTCTCGTGACTCCTTGATTCTTTCATAGTATTCTGTTAAAAGATGGAAAAACCAGTTATTTGTTATGATTTCCATTCCTACTAGATCAGTGATATCCCGGGGGGAACTCCCGCATAAAAAAGGAGTGGGATGCTCACGAGTCTGAAATGTTGAAAAGAACCCGTAAGAGGTACCAAAATCCTTTTTTGTGGGCTTGGCTTGAAATATTTTCACCCCTAAGAGGTACCAATTCTGAAACAACACATTATCTCCTGTCAATTTTTTTTTTTCGGTTTAATCAGGCCCTGAGGTACCAAATCCGCCTTTTTAACCCCTTAAAGGTACGACGAGCACCCCCCGTCATTTTTACATCGGAGTCCCCTCCGCTCTCCCTGCCGGGAGTGATATATACTTAAGAAACTCTCTCAACCAGAGTGCGCTGCGGTTGTTTGTTGATTCATCCGTGGAAGGCGTTACTTTCTGTCGAGGACAAATAATAGGCAATTGGCAACAGGTCATGAAATGAATATCAAATATACAACCGGAAGTCGCCTGCTCAGGCAATGATCTCTGAGGTATAATGTATCTATCAGTTATACCTTCGCGTTCCGCTTGACGGTTAATTTATTTTCTCGTCTCTTTCGTTTTCCTCCGTCCACGCAAACTACTTCTACTGTTAAAAATACGACCCTTTTAATTTGCAAGCATCGCCAGTAATCCTTAGTGAAAGATTTCGGTGTCTTTTTTTTTCGTTTGGGTTTCTTCTTAGCATTTGAAAGACGGCAAAACCTTTGCTTTTCTTCTTTGACGACATGAAAAATATTAGCTTACAATTTGTTGTCGGAAAAACCTTGACGTGCTCGCGGAAGTTGTGATGTATAAACAATCTTGCCCGTGTCATGTGACCGAGTTACAAACTGATAACAGCTATCAATCAGAGGTAACTATAGACAGAACTGTTTTTCCCCAATAACCTCGTTTAGAGTTAATCATTTTTCCGTGAATTTTTTTAATAAAAGGTCTCAAAAATATCTATCTGAAGTAACAAAAAAATCGATTTTTCTTCAAAATTGTCTTAATCTTGCTTACAGACCATAGAGCCAAAAGTTTCATGGAACCTGGCAGAGCGATTTTCCGAGAAGAACTGCCAATCAAATTAGCCAATGAATGTTTGTGCCTTTTTATCTAATTTTGCTCCTGTCGCAAGTTAAGAAACATCCTTTTAAAATTTCCAAGCCCACCAGTCTGGTTTAGGTTTTATAACTTTGTACTTCTCTAAATTAAACCTAAGTTCAAAATACAAAAAAATATATTTTTCTCCAAAATTGTCTTAATCTTGCTTACAGACCATAGAGCCAAAAGTTTCATGGTATCTGGCAGAGCGATTTTCCGAGAAGAACTGCCAATCAAATTAGCCAATGAATGTTTGTGTTTTTTATCTAATTTTGCTCCTGTCGCAAGTTAAGAAACATCCTTTTAAAATTTCCAAGCCCACCAGTTTCGCTTGGGTTTTATAACTTTGTTCTTCTTTAAATTAAATCTAAGTTCAGAAGTCAATGAACCTATTTTTGTTCTTGATGGCAATTTTTTTCATTTGTTATTGCAAAGTTTCGACAACGTGGTTTTGCCACAGGTTTTGAGGTAATTTTGCTGGTAATTTTTAATTTTATTGTGATGTTTACACAACATCAAAAACATTTGAAAATGTATTTTACATACGTCAAAAACAAGTCGAATTCTCGGAAATCAAGGCCGTGCATGCGCATGCGCCTGGTGGACCTGAAACAAACAACCAGGGAAAATAAGCCATTGAAACAAATAGAAAGTGAAATTAAACTGTGAGTTAGCGAGGAACCTTTTTAAAATCTTAAAAATCTGTCCATATGCGAGAACCTTTCCGTTAACCTTTTGGTTGATTAGCATTTGGTTTACTGAGGGTCCTTAACTATGCAGACTGATTCTTACCACGTGGCTTCCACGACTTTGGTTCTGATGCTGGTTTCTGTGGATCTGATGCCTTCCTTGCTTCTGTCTTGACATACAGGGCGGTCTTGGTTTCCTCATTCGTCTCAATCGTCATCTCTCCAGGATTTCGTTGAAAACTGGTTAAGATTTGTAACATCACGTCTAGAACTGTTTCAGCTTATTTTACAATCGGAACGGGTTATCAACGAAATGTGAAATTGATCACTGAAAATTTGATTTAGTTCTCCGTTTCAATATTCTGTTCTTGAAACGAATACATCAATCCTCGCTGAGCCACGACGCGATTCAAACATGATGGTTGGTATTGTATTTCTGGATATGAATAAACGCGATCGGGCAGGTGACGGTCAGTCCTCACTTTGCATACAATACGCTCTGTATTTACTTCTCCCCTCTACACTGCCTGTCCGACAAAGTATTAGATTTATCTGTCTGTCAGGTCAAGTTATATTTTCGTGCATTATTTCTGTTTGCGTTTGATTTAATTATGCACCTGACATACATACGAATCAAATATTTGCGAAGTGAAGCGCCAGCGGTTTAGGTCAGGTCTTATCATGTCGTCATAGCTTAAAATATACATACATCAGCAAAGGAGATATGAGCTCTGATATAACAGCGCTAGCGTTAGCGACCAAACGCGATCAGTAATGGCTTAACCGCTATCTCCGAAGAACGCTTTGAAAAAGAATAATGTCTTGCCGAGGTTGCCTTGTTAACAAAACTAATTTAGCGAGGCGAAATATTACTGGAGATACTTTGAATCAGTCTTTGCACTGCCACATAATCGTAGTTTTTGCTTCTCCATCAAGCTCTACAAAGACAGAACATACCCCTGACTACGAGGCAGATCTGGCCGGCTGCATTATTCAATTAAGTAATTTCTACGCCTGTAAGATACTGATGTGCAAATCCTTCATGAAACCGCTCTCGCGGCTCTAGAGTGTTGTCGCTGGCTTTCACTTTTAAGCGCTATTGACTGCCGAAATGACTGAAATAGAAGTTGCCATGCCATACACTTGACAGGAGAAAATATTTCCAGGTTTTATAAACCTCCTTGAAACGCCGGCGGTCACAATGTTGTTGCAATTTTCATCTACTTTCAACAGCTCAGGCCTAGTACAAACGTCCTGCTACTTCCTTGCTGAACTCAAACGAATTTGGCCCGGCAGTGCCATGACAAAAGAACGGCAGTGGTTTCAAACGTCGACTTCAGTGGCGCCGAAGGTCAGAAGAAGTTTGCTTTGCTGAAGACCATTTTAAATGGATTGCTAGAAAGCAACGACAGCTGATGCAGCAGAACACGTCGTTTGAAGTCAAGTGCGGCACGGCAAGACCTACCGTGCTAAGTAGTCGTGCTGCACTTAATTCAGCCTGCCGAACTGAGTGGTTTCAAACGTCGTGTTTTGAATTTAGTTGAGCAGCGCAGTAGCAGTAGTTCGGAATAGGCCTTAATCCGATTAATTTTCGACCAGAACTTGACGCAATGTTAGGCACAAGCGACAATCATCAAGTTTCATTTCATTTCCAAAAAAGAAACGAGCAGAAATTAAACTCCATTCGTCTTTGTCTATATACAAATCCTTTCGAGAAAACGTCTTAGTTTCGCTGGTATGTATAGGTCGGGATGCATTGGCATATTTGCATAGCTAGGTGACATCTTTGTCCTGTTTGCCCAGTGACTCCGTTTTTATTTGGACTTACATGGCAACCAGCAAAACTTGCCTCTGATATTCTATTCTTTTCCGCAAATTCTTCAATCAATCCAACACAAAAATACAGAAAAAAAAACTAACTTATTTACAGCAAATACAACTGAATATTCTCATATAAGAGCTCTATATACTGGGACATTAAATGTGAACAAGTAAACGCCCGTACTTCGTGACCCTTTACTGCTGGGTGCCCATGGAATGCGCCTAGCGCAAATTGAAAAGGAAGTACGTTCTCAAATATGAATTGAGCAACCCTTGAGAAACCAATTGACCAATAGGAAGGCAGTTTGATCACACAAACTGACAGGTGCAGAAGCGAGTTCCTTTAATTAAATAAGTGACTCAAAGATCCGATCGCCATCGTGGGAGGCTATTATCTACTTTTGGCGGAAGATACACAATGATAAAATGAAAAAGGGACGGGAAATGTTTTCCAAGGTCTCACATGGGTCCATTAATTAAGCAATAGTGGAACAACTTGCTCAATCGATCTGCTCGCAAATATGGAAGGCTATTAATAACTTTTGTCGGACGACTCACAATGGATTATTCTCAATTGGCGTGCATATCATGGGGTTTACCTGGGAAAAAGTCATAAAAAGAAACAGGGCCGGGTTGTTCGAAAGCCGGTTAACGCTAACCCAGGATTAAAAGTTAACTGAAGTATCAATTTTTCTTGCATAAAAATGTTTGTTACTGCTCACGTTTTGTGTAGTTTAAGCTTACTCAAGCTCAAAACTGAAGGACAAACATTATAAACAGAAAACCTAACCGAAAAGTTACAAAACTGAAATCAAAAATTCTTGCTAATCCTGAGTTAGCTTAATCGGGCTTTGAACGACCCGGCCCAGAACTATATTCTAAATTGTAGTCTGTGCAGTTTTCAAAGTTATCACTATTGCCAGCTGCCACGGAGATAAACCCACTCTTTCCTGTGTAAACAAGATTAATTTAAGACAATTTTGAAGAAAAATACATTTGTTGTATTTTCAGATAGATCTCTTTGAAACATTTTATTACCTGTAAAAAAACATTCTCACGGAAAAATGATTGATTCTAAACGAGGTTATCGAGGAGAAACAAATCTATCTATGGTTACGCGGTCACATGACACGAGCAAGATTGTTTATATATTACAACTTCCGCGAGCAGGTCATAGTTTTTCCGACAACAAATTGTAAGCTACTATTTTTCATGCCGTCAAAGAAGAAAAGCAAAGGTTTTGTCGTCTTTCACTCTTTCCTCAACACCAACAGCTCATCACATCCTTTGGTGCTTTTCTTCAGCATATTACCTCCCACCAAATCACACAGTTTCATGCGTCGGCCAGGTGATATACGGAACTGTATCTTCCACAACGGACCTATATCTTGACTCGTTAACAAAAACCGAAATGAGTTTGCGAAGACTTCTTTTAATATTTCACAACAACTAGCTTTATTTGCATGACCATAAATACATACAGTGTTGCAAAAGCTTTTGTAAACTAAAACTAAAGCTAAAACAGTAACGGTTATCGTGATCATATAATAACGTTATGATATAGCAATCAAGTTTCATTGGTTTGATTTGAAAGTAGAATATTGCGTAGATCAAAGCAAGATGATCACAAATAGGGCAGAGTCTGTTAACCCGTGGAATTTGATCATATCTACCAGTCTCAATCCTTAGTTTGTGATCGCCTATCTTAAATTTCACTAGTTCTTTTCTTTCGCTTGGTTTGCTTTTTATGCCTAAATAAGAGGAGGGTATATAATCGTTCTTAAAAGTGTTGAAAAATTCTAGTTTAGTAGAGCTTTGCATGGCCTGTTGCCAATATAAAATATACTTTTGCTGCATTAGGCCAACATAATGTTTGATTTTAGCGTTAGTTAAGTACGTAAGATAAAAACAACGGAAATCGCCCGCGTTAAGTGAGTGATACATCTCGACGAGCAATCAAATTTTGTATGGTCCGAGTCCTTATTCAATATTGAGAGGATGGTAAAGGAGAGACCTACTAGATTAGTGTCACGCAACATTAAGTAGGCATTTAACATAATACCCACAAAGGGAACATTTTTTCTTCGAGCTTAGAGTTTTAAACCCCCTCGTAAGAATTTTGATAATAAAGATAATAAAAATGGGGTACGCCGAGTCGTTTTTCAGTCATACACTCATAAAGCTAAACTGTTACGGGTGCTTTGAACAGGTAGTATCGTTGCTATGTAACCTATTATGCCATGAAAATGACCGCAGCTTGCTAAACAATGACTATACATTTGTGGAATAATGCCAATATATATTGAAACATCACTTGAGAAGGTTTGGTAGAAGTGTTCCGTAAAAGTATAACAGCATAGGCTCCTGCTGATAGAAATTTGGAAGCTGTCCCAGCCGCTTAAACTATGTCCTTGCGTTGACCCTAGAATGTAACTAAATACTCGATCCGGAAAGGATCGGCTCTCCGCTCTCCGCTCGGGTTGCAGAAAGTGTTGGAAACTATTGCCAGCCGCCTTGATTATTCTCGTGTGTTGATTCTAAATTGTAATAAGATATTCTGGATAGGTTTGATTGTCATAGTATACGACAAAAATTGAAGGATCATTCGTGTCATCCACCATGGAATCAAACAGGATCTCTGGCTGCTCGGAGTTTATAGGGGGAGGCTTCTTCATCCCCGAACTGCCTTTACAATATCGCCCCACTAGGACCCGGGCGAGGTACACAACCTGATGACTGCCACCAGTGTAGCGTATTGAATATGAGGCGTCTCTTGCAAAGTACACTCCTGCACCGTAACGAGTTCCTTATAATAAAAGAAAAATAAATTGATGTCAGTGCTTATTTCATAAAACTCTCATGAAAAAATACACAACAAAAGCTTAGAGAGGGGGTAGGAAATCACTACATGACACTGTACGGTACTAACGAGCAACTTCGTTTTAAAGGCCCTTCCGTTCCCTTCCATTGGAAGGGAAAGGTGCCATGGAGCGAGGTTGACTAACGCAAACTGCTCTTCCCGTCATTTTTTTGTGGAAGTCTCCTCACCCTCCTCACCCTCGTCATCTTCCTCATCCTCCTCACTCTTCTCACCCTCCTCACTCTTCTCACCCTCCTCCAATCCGGGTAATAAAAGGTGTATTATACTCCTACTCGTCTTTTTAGTCGATGACTTTCTCGATAAAAAACACGCTAAGGTTCACTGTTTACTAGTTTGAACCAGTTCTTTACATCTAAGTACGATATCGGCGTGTCCAATTAAATGTAATACGATATTTTCGGCATTTACGTACAAAATGGCTTTTTGGTGTTGTCCACACTCAAACGTAGTGACGCTATCTTCGCTCTCTGAGCCTTCCCATTAGGGTTTTCAGGTGCAATAACTTCAAAATTCACAATAAAGCGGTTTTCACCTGAGTGTCGAAAAGTAATTGGTATTGCATTTACTACGCCACCCGATTGGTTCAAAAAACTCGCGCCACTTTTTCATCCAATCAGAAGTAAAACTAAAACCAATCGGGATTCACTCGCACGCTTTTTCCCGCGCTTCGCGTCAGCTACATGTAAGTAATTGGAGTTTTGATTGGTTCACTGGATTATCTGCGTACTTTGTGATTGGCTAGGGTGATTGGTTTTACGACACTCAATTGAAAACCGTTCTAATAAAACTATCAATAAACTTTGCAATGATAAAAATATCTACCATAACGACAGATATTCATTGATCGAGACTTATATTAGTCTCATTTTTTTTAAAAACATTTACTCAATATGAGTTCACTGAGGCTACTACGAATGATATGATGAGTGACACTTGCACAACTAGTGTGTAAATATATCTTATTAGATGTTTTGGTGTGTAGTATCGCTGTATATTTTTACGAGTGGTGCCGTAACATCTAATAAGAGATTTATTATCCAACTGTTGTAGTCAATAAATTTATCAATGAAAGAGGGAGAGTGAGACAGTTTTGCGTGCGCGCTCCAACCTGTGCGGCAAACAGGTTTTCTACTGCACAAATAACTGTACAATATCGCTGTACATTTGTACTGTTACTTGGACGGTATTCGCTGCAGTTGGATAATAAAAGGCCATATTCGTATTCTCGGTATTGTATTGGAAATAGCTTGCAACTGAGGCTAAAGCGCAGAGTCTTTTCAAATGCAAATAGCATTTATCCCTTTTTAATGATACTTTTCCGCATGAGCCTCCACTGCAAGCTAGTTGCAATCCAAAACTAAAAATACGAATACGGTCTATTGAAAAAGTCCGCGAGAACTTTGTCAAGTTTTGTTAGCGTGTGTTGGAAAAATTACTAAAAAACTAATTGCAAATTGCTTCCCTCTAACCATTACTTCAAAACCCTCACCGTGTGCAGATCCTGAAAAACTTCTGTCAAATCCTTGCGTATTAATTTTCGTTACATTGTCTGAATTTGTGCCATGGAATAGTTGCCGCTCGTTGTTTGCTTGAGGGTTGTCTCGGTCCATTTTTTGCTTCCGCAGTTGGTAGGCCTGGTAGAGATAAGGATTTTGTATTCGCTCTACACTCTTTATCATCAGATTGGAAGGGACGGTTTCTTGTAATCTTTCTATCACATCCTGGTACTCAACTGACGAGCTCGCTAGTTTCACTAGATGAACATCGATGTCATTTCCTCGGTCATCTCGAGGCATTGGTACCCAGTTCCTAGGCAACAGGTTTTCTATGGAAACAAACGTTCTGCTATTATGTCATTCAGACTAACGCCCATAACATCCCGGGGGATACTCCCTTATATGGGCTATATAGGTATGTGTGACCCCAAAGGGTATGGTTTTTCAGCCGTTTTGGTCATAAATAGGGTATCGATTTTGGCCATTTCGGTCGTAAATAGGGTATGGTGTTTGCATACTAGTCTTGAAATTGAGTATGTGTTTTTAGAAAAATGTTACTTTTTCACCATTATCGATACGACCATCAACAAAAGCCCTTCATAAATTATGTTTAGGGCAACTGTTCCAGTTGCTATCCTCCTACATGCAGCCCGTGAACACAGACGTATTTCCGGTTGTTGCTTACCTATTTTCGGCGGAAGCAAGCGACAACCGGAAATACGTCTGCGTTCGTACGCTGTCTACGTGTAGCTCTTCTACTGTTTCGTTTTTTGTCTCATCGTGTTACCTCTTCCAGGCAGTGTTTGTTCCTCAAACTGAGTGCTTGCCATTTTAGTACGTCCAAATGCAGGAGAGCTGTTCAAGTCTCGGTATAAGTTTCCTGCATCACGTCCAGCTCCCCCTGGATTCTTAAAACAGTTTTCTCGATCCTTAAACTGGTGTGTGAATTCCATTAGCCGTTGTTTGGCTCTTGTAACATCTCCATCCACTGCATCATCACAAAGAGTTTTCTTGATGAGGACCCTAGGCAAAGAACTGAACTCTTCTTTCAGCATTCTTATTTTATCATCTAACTCCATTTGCTCTTCTTGCACGTTGTTCTTGGTCTCCAAGGCTGCATCATTGTCCTGTCTTGCTTTATTGCCAATCACTTCACTGTGGACGCACTTTTTGATGGATGCCCTTAGTGCCGGCAATGTGTGCTGTGCAAGTGGTAGAGATGGTCCTGGTGCAGACCATCTATGTGGTGGGGGTGGGGGTGGTCCTAATTCTGCATGTGGTAGAGATGGTCCTAATGTAGACCATCTATGTGGTGGGGGTGGGGATGGTGCAGACTGTGCATGTGGTAGGGGTGGCTCTGATGTAGACCATCTATGTGGTAGGGGTGGGGGTGAGGGTGGGGAAGGTGTTGACTGTGTACGTGGTCGGTGTGGGGCTGATGTTGAATGGGCTTGTGGTAGGAGTTGCCGTGGTGTAGACCGTCCATATGTCCAGGGTGGGGGTGAAGTTGACTGGGCATGTGGTCGAGGTGGGGGTGGTTTTGACTGTACATGGTGATGCGATAGCAGTGGGGGTGGAGGTGGTGGCAGCCCAATAGCTGAAGACATGTAGAGTGGTAATGGCGGTTCTCGAGTCTCTTTACAGTCCTCGACATGTTCTGTAAAGTCGATAGGCAATAAAGAGCAATTAGTTCCTATATTCCACTCCTGGCGGATGAGTGATTAGTTCTTAATCATCCTGACCACGAGCCCATTAATGGGATCCTGTCTTGAGTTATTCTTACCATGGGATTTCCTCCAGTTTGGTTTTGGTTTTGGTTTTGGTGGATCTGTTGCCTTTCTGTCTCCTGTCCTATGACACCTTGCTGTCTCAGTACCTTTTATTGAAAGAAAATGAAAATAAATAAGTAACTTAATCATCGTCGTTGTTGTTGAATCACTCATCTTCTCTAGTAATAATTTCGTTGCCAACTCGTTATTTGTCACAATTTCTCTGCAATTAGTGGACTCAGAACTATTGAAAACAAATTGGCTCTGCCTAAGCCCCGTACCGATTTTTTGAAACGTATTTTCTGCTACAGTGAGGAATAGCCTTCCATCAAACGTCAGAGCCAATAGTAAAATCTTTTATCGTTTTCTTAGCTCATGAGCGGGCGGAATTCAACAAAACCTGCAATTTGATTGGTTCCTGGAGCGGGCGGAAATTTCCCATTCGGACCGCCAAAGCGGGCGGAATCCGTCGAGTTGATCTATTTTCGTGCAGTAATGTGTTCCATAGACGATTAATCAACGCAAGGTTATTTCTATTCACCTTCAAATGGCAAAGAAAGTTACTGTAATTAAATTCAATTGAGTTTTTTTGAAGTTGTGAGAGTTTGTTTGGCTGTTTGTAGCTCGGCGCTGTAATGGCGCTTAATCCTGTCTGTCTCTGTACAATATTAAGTAAAAAATGCGCGAATTTCAGTCGAGTTTACTTCTTTGATTGTTGCTGTATTTGCGAGAATTTCTGTAGAAAACACTTAACGAATTTCCTCGCTATCTGTTACTCAATTTACGGTAGAAAAGTCTTATTTTGAGTGATTCGCAACGACTGACAGAAATTGCACGAAATTTCACACCGGAAAAACACTTTTGGAGCACTTAACTGGTGAACTAAATGCAACTAACATAAAGCAGTTCGAAATAAATCTTTCTTTGTCTGGTATCAGAGTTACTCGCTCATTCGCTCGTTAGATTTTTTACGAATGGTTTGTAGACGGCGCGTAAGCCAATTCAATGACAAAGTTGTATAAACAAACCCACTTGAAAAATTTACCGCAAGAAAAGATAAACAGGTTATTGTCCGGCTTAGGGTCGGTCCGTATAGTGAAAAACTGTGACCTCGGGCTTGAAAATGCTGCCCTCGGCTTGCGACCGAGGTCACAGTTTTTCACTATACGGACCTCCCAGCCGGCCAATAACATATATTTATTAACTTTAGAAATGAGATAAATCGCCAACTGTCCTCCTCGTACTCCCATACGGCAAACATGTAGTTCAGTTTAAAAAACAAAATCTCAATCTTGGAACTGATGCTTTTACCGTGTCAAAATAAAGTGTATGTCTATGTCTATGGACCATGCCTCTTGACGGTGTTTATACTGACGGAATTCTCGGGGGAACTCCTATATAAAAAGGACGGGGATGCTCGTAGTAAATGTAGAAATGAACTCCTAAGAGGTACCGGGATCCCGATTTGTTGGTGTGTTGTTTTAGAATTGGTACCTCTTAGGGATGAAAAGAATTTCATGCCACGCCCACAAAACAGGATCTTGGTACCTCTTAGGGGTTCTTTTCAAAATTTCCGACGAGACACCCCGTTTTATTTTTAATATGGAAGTTCCCCCCAGGGTCTTTACCTTCTACAATGCAATTCTTTGCCACTGAGTTTCTGTCGAATTCCTCCGCAGGGGTGACACACAAACTCCCTTTTAATTCCTCTGTAACAGGAGTAGCCGCCATTGGATTGAAAAACAAGCTACTTTTCATCTGTTGAAATTCCTGTAACCGATCCGTAGCTTTGCTAATGTCCTCATTGACGTCATCACCACAGAGAGTTCTCTTGATGAGGACTTTAGGCAAACCTTTGAATTGTTCTTCGAGCTTCTTGATTTTGTCTTCCAATTCCATTTGCGTCTTCTTCTCAACTAAAAGTTAAGTTTAATCCTGCAGCAAAATATGAATAACGATCAGGGGGTTACTCCTCCATATAAGCTGTAGAGAAATAGGGGTATTGTTTTGAAACAGTTTAGGTCTGAAACAGGGGGTGTTTTTCATCATGCCACAAATTTCGGAAATCTCGGTCGGAAGTCAAATGGAAAAGTCCGTTTCGGCTCAGTCCGGTTCACCTCTGGAGGTGGTCCACTTTGACCGGTCGGACCAAAATTTGCTGTTCCATTTTAATAAACTGGTTCGTTGCCCTACTTAATTCTCTTCAGTGGATTTCACTTTTGTCAGGGATAGGGTGAAGGAAAAGAAAATGGTAAAAGCCATTCCTCTCGGTTGGCCCGGTTTGATTGGAAAATGTCGTTCCATTTTTTCCTTGGTTAATCCTGCTGTTTCTGACCGGTCGGCCTGGCGTAATGTAAAGCATCCATGGTTTGATTTATGCACTCTGTTCTGGAACATAGGTTTGTTTCATAGAAGAAACTTATTCATTGTTTATCATTATGTGGTTTGTGTTTGTAGCCGATATAACGCGCGCTCTGATTGGCTTATTCTAGGTCATTATTCTTCCGTGATGCCCACGGGCCGATTACGGGTCAGCAAAAACAAAGCAAAAGGTAATTTAAAAAACTATTGCTTTATCCCTTGAAATTATAGCGGCTGAAAACGATGAGTGACGGAGAACACTCTGAAAATAAATCCTATTACCATGACGAGCTACAGTTTCAGGAGAACAGCGACTTCATCATCATCTCTTTTCATCGCACCAGTAGGGGCATAAGGCCGTCACGCTCTCCGTCCAACACTAGGGAACTTAAGCAAACCACGACGATGACGGCAACAAGAACGTCACGAAACAAAAGGTTTAATGAGCAAAACAATAGCTCTGCACGTGCATTATACATCTTTGTACATTTCTTTGCCGTCCTCTGTAAAACAAGAACGTGAAATGACCGAGTTCTGCGTAGTCTGTGGAACGCGACCGATGACGGCTAATTTTTCGTATTTCCATTTGGAACTGAACGATATCATTGCATATTTAGGATGAGCACGTTTTTAGAGCCATTGGCGTACTGAACAGATTTAGACAATCGCGAATTTAGCAAGTAAAATATAAGATCATTTTTGACTAGGCGTTGTCCTCGGCGTCGCCGTCGTCGTTGCTTAAGTTCCCTGCTGTCTGTAACAGCGAATTCACAGAGTTAAATATATTATAAATGAGTTGGTGGTGCTGAAACATTTTATGGGGATTTCCAAATCAAATAAAAAAGAAAAATAAAACTGCAAAATATATGTGCTCAATATTTTCGTTTGGAAAACACCGTCTTTTAGCCCCTGAGGAAGATTGGTTTTCCAAACAGAAATTTGTAGTTCTTTTTTTTAAATTTGATTTCTGTCTTCATCTCCCCTTTCTGCCGTAAGGTTTCCAGACTTTATTTATTATTTCAACCTTTGTACAGTCACTACTTGATCCGACGCTCCTCACTAGTTTTGCCAAATGGCGAAATGACGAATAGTGAGCTCTAAGCTTAGACCAAAATGGGCTCCAGTTAACCTTAATTAATAGGGAGCTTAAGCAAATCACGACGGCAACGGGAACGAGAAGTCCACCAATCAAAAGGGTTTAATGAGGAAACCAATGGCTGTGCACGTGCGTTATAAATCTTTGTACATTTCTTTGCCGTCCTCTGCAAAACAACAACGTGAAATGACCAAGTTCTGCGTATTTTGGAGAACGTGAACGAGAGTGGCTAATTNAACAGATCTAGACAGTTGCGAAATTCGAAGGTAAACTATAAATTCATTTTTTACTAGGCGTTGTCCTCGGGGTTGCCGTCGTCATTGCTTAAGCTCCCTAATATCACTGACTCGACAGTGATAATTTTAAGGGTAGGCCCTTACAGACACCGGTCACTCCAAAGTGCAGATCATGCATGCAAACTGCAGACTGCAGACTGAGTACTTTTTTCTTACACTAGTCTTTGCATCTTACCTTTGACGCACATTTTTCGGTTCTAACGACAAAATAGTATTCAATTTATCCCAATGTTTTTTTTTTTATTTTAGTCCACAGGCCTCATAAGCTCTGCATGTGATTGTGTATTCAATGTAATATAGACTTTGCATGGGAAATTCCCTTTAGTCCAAAATTTGCTCAAATGTAGCCACAGTGTAGTAAATCAAGGTAGAGGTAAACTCCATTTACCTCATGTTAGGGTGTTCTTTGTGACTTTCAAACACGAGGGGTACCTACATGGCGTCTCCATACAAAGCTCTATAAGTTTGGCTGAAATACTTTTCCCAATAACGCGCGAATGAAAGACCGCACAGCAACCTCGTTCCCAGGGTCTTTTTCCTGGCTTGGGGGTGGCCCCACCCCCAAGCCAGGGAAAAGACCCTGGGAACGAGGTTGACCGCACAGGCCTAAATCTTCGCGAGGTTGTTTACATATCAATCTCCTATCGTATCCCAGATTCTTTAATTCTTACTTTTGATGCCTTGACAGTGCACACCAGCAATTGAGTTTGGTATATAAGTAATAACACTGACAGTAATTCGACTGTGATTGACAAACTGAATGAATCTGTCACAGATTCGAATCTCGGTCAGTGCAAAACGCAGACTGTGGACTAGACTGTTCACAGCCCTCTAGTTTCTCGAATTTTTATTCGATCGTTGAACGCGCGGATAGACTTACTTACTTCGTGTTTTGAAACACATAAGGCCTCGGCTAAAGTGCGCCATTGGCTTCTGTCGGGTGCTCGTCGTTCCAGGTGACCCCATGTCCAGGTGTTCTCCTTCATCTCTTTCTCCACTGTCCTCTTCCATGTTTCTTTCGGTCTGCCTCTCTTTCTAGGGCCATCAGGGGTCCACCCGAGGGCAACTCGTGGTAGTGCTACTGGTGGCATGCGCAGCACATGACCAATCCATTTCCATCTCTTTCGCCGGACTTGCTGTGCGATTGGTTCTTTTCCTGTTCTTCTGCGCAACTCATAGTTTGAGATTGTCTGGGGCCAGTACATACGGAGAATCCTGCGCAGGCACTTGTTCTGGAAGATTTCTAGCTTGTGGCTGATGGTTTTGATCATCTTCTAGGATTCTGCGCCATACAGTAGAGTGCTTAAGACATTGCTTTTGAAAAATCGGATCTTTGTCGTCTGGCTGATGTTCTTGGATCTCCAAGTGCCTCGAAGCGAGGCAAAGGCCTTGCTTGCCTTTGAAATCCGAACTAGGATCTCTTCTTCTCCATCTCATACATACATACACCTTAGATCCCAGGTAGGTAAAGTGATCAACCTCATCTACCACTTCCCCATTCACCATGATGGATTCATTGGTTCTGCCACTCATCCTCAAATACCTTGTCTTCTTAATGCTGATCTTCAGGCCTAATTTCCCTGCTGTAATTGCCAAAGCATTGGTCTTTGCCTGCATGTCCTGGTGTCGATGGGCGAGCAGCGCAATATCATCTGCATAATCAAGGTCTTCCAAGACACTGGTCAATGTCCATCTANATGAAAATGTAGGCAGACAAAGTCAAAACTACTCCATGAAAATGTAGACAAACAAAGTCAAAATACTCACGTTTAAGTAAACATCTTAGCTTGGCAAAGGTCAAAAGCTCGAAGTAGGCTTTAAATTGTTCATAATAATCATCACTTTGCCGAAACTTAAACGAAAGGAACTTGCACTAAACCCCAAGGAATCTTTACAGCTAAATTGAAACTGCACACGTCATGTTATATACGCACGGCCGTGCGTACATAGAGATTTTGTTCATAATGGCTCAATAGGACTAGCGCGCGGCGTACTATGCTACAAACACGTTTTAAGTATATTTAGAAAACAGTCCTAAGAAAAAACGCGCGCTGATTGGTTAAAAATCGTGTTTCTATAACTCGATGGAAACACAGAACTAGCACGAGCTAGAATAAATATCACTCCGATTACACTGAATATCACTCCAGTACCAGACTGGACATCACTTCCGGTTACACTGAATATCACTCTGATTACACTGAATATAACTCCGGTTAGACTGAATATCACTCACGTTAGACTGAATGTAACTCCGGTTCGACTGAATATCACTCCGGTTCAACTGTATGTAACTCCGGTTAGACTGAATATCATTCCGGTTAGACTGTATATCACTCCCTGTTAGACTGAATATCACTCCAGTTGGACTGATTATCACTCCCGGTTAGAATGAATATCCCTCAGGTTAGTCGGAATATCATTCCGGTTAGACTGAATATCATTCCAGTTAGACTGAATATCACTCCCGGTTAGACTGACTATCACTTTGGTTAGAATGAATATCATTACGGTTAGACTGAATATCACTCCCGGTTAGACTGAATATCACTCCTGGTTAGACTGAATATCATTCTGGTTGGACTGAATTTCACTCCGGTTAGCCTGAATATCACTCAGGTTAGACTGAATATCACTCCAATTAGACTGAATATCATTCCAGTTAGACTGAATATCACTCCCGCTTAGACTGGATATCACTCAGGTTAGACTGAATATCATTCCGGTTGGACTGAATATCACTCCCAGTTAGCCTGAATATCACTCCGGCTAGACTGAATATCACTCCCGGTTAGATTAAGTATCACTCTGGTTAGACTAAATATCACTCCCAGTTAGACTGAATATCACTCTGGTTAGACTGAATATCACTCACGTTAGCCTGAATATCACTCCAATTAGACTGAATATCACTCAGGTTAGACTGAATATCACTCAGGTTAGCCTGCATATCACTCCAATTAGACTGAATATCACTCAGGCTAACCTGAATATCACTCTGATTAGACTGAATGGCACTCAGGTTACACTGAATATCACTCTGATTAGACTGAATATCACTCCGGTTAGACTGAATATCACTCCCGGTTAGACTGAATATCACTCTGATTAGATTAAATATCACTCCCCGATAGCTTCAATATCACTCCTGGTTAGCTCGAATATCACTCTGGTTAGACTAAATATCCCTCCCGCTTAACCTGAATATCACTCCCGGTTAGACTGACTATCACTCCGGTTAGACTGAATATCATTCCGATTAGACTGAATATCACTCCCAGTTTGACTGAATATCACTCAGGTTAGACTGACTATCACTCAGGTTAGCCTGCATATCACTCCAATTGGACTGAATATCACTCAGGCTAGCCTGAATATCACTCTGATTAGACTGAATGGCACTCAGGTTACACTGAATACCACTCTGATTAGACTGAATATCACTCCGGTTAGACTGAATATCACTCCCGGTTAGACTGAATATCACACTCATTAGACTAAATATCACTACCCGATAGCTTGAATATCACTCCTGGTTAGCTCGAATATCACCCTGGTTAAACTAAATATCACTCCCGCTTAACCTGAATATCACTCCCGGTTAGACTGACTATCACTGCGGTTAGACTGAATATCATTCCGGTTAGACTGAATATCACTCACGGTTAGACTGAATATCACTCCAGTTGGACTGATTATCACTCCCGGTTAGACTGAATATCCCTCAGGTTAGCCGGAATATCATTCCGGTTAGACTGAATACCATTCCAGTTAGACTGAATATCACTCCCGGTTAGACTGACTATCACTCTGGTTAGATTGAATATCATTCCGGTTACACTGAATATCACTCCTGGTTAGACTGAATATCATTCTGGTTGGACTGAATTTCACTCCGGTTCGCCTGAATATCACTCAGGTTAGACTGAATATCACTCCAATTAGACTGAATATCATTCCGGTTAGACTGAATATCACTCCCGCTTAGACTGGATATCACTCAGGTTAGACTGAATATCATTCCGGTTGGACTGAATTTCACTCCAGTTGGACTGAATATCACTCCTGGTTAGACTGAATATCACTCCGGTTAGACTGAATATCACTCCCGGTTAAACTGAATTATATCACTCCAGTTAGACCAAATATCACTCCCGGTTAGACTGAATATCACTCCGGTTAGACTGAATATCACTCCCGGTTACACTGAATATCACTCCAGTTAGACTAAATATCACTCTTGGTTAGACTGAATATCGCTCCGGTTAAACTGAATGTCACTTCGGTTAGACTGAATATCACTTTCAGTCAGACTGAGTATCACTCAGGTTAGAGTGAATATCACTCAGGTTAGACTGAATATCACTCCAATTAGACTGAATATCATTCCGGTTAGACTGAATATCACTCCCGCTTAGACTGGATATCACTCAGGTTAGACTGAATATCATTCCGGTTGGACTGAATTTCACTCCAGTTGGACTGAATATCACTCCTGGTTAGACTGAATATCACTCCGGTTAAACTGAATATCACTCCGATTAGACTGAATATCACTCCGATTAGACTGAATATCACTCCCAGTTATCCTGAATATCTCTCCGGTTAGACTAAATATCACTCCAGTTAGACTGAATATCACTCCCAGTAAGACTGAATATCACTCCAGTTAGACTAAATATCACTCCTGGTTAGACTGAATATCACTCCACTTAGACTGAATATCACTCCCGGTTAGACTGAATATCACTCCAGTTAGACAAAATATCACTCCCGGTCAGACTGAATATCACTCAGGTTAGACTGAATATCACTCCCGGTTAGACTGAATATCACTGCAGTTAGCCTAAATATCACTCCTGCTTAGACTGAATATCGCTCCGGTTAGACTAAATATCACTTCGGTTAGACTGAAGATCACTCCTGGTTAGATTGAATATCACTCCCCTTAGACTGAACATCACTCCTGGTTAGACTGAATATCACACCAGTTAGACTGAATATCATTCTGGTTAGACTTAATATCACTCCCTGTTAGACTGAATATCACTCAGTTTAGACTGAATATCATTCCGGTTAGACTGAATTTCACTCCGGTTAGACTGAATATTACTCCCGGTTAGACTGAATATCAATCAGGTTAGACTGAATATCACTCCAATTAGACTGAATTTCACTCCGGTTATACTAAATATCACTCTCGGTTAGACTGAATATCACTCCACTTAGACTAAATATCACTCCCGGTTACACTGAATATCACTCCTTTTAGACTGAATATCACTCCCGGTTACACTGAATATCACTCCAGTTAGACCAAATATCACTCTCGGTTAGACTGAATATCACTTTCAGTCAGACTGAGTATCACTCAGGTTAGACTGAATATCATTCCGGTTAGACTGAGTTTCACTCTGGTTAGACTGAATATCACTCCTAGTTAGACTGAATATAAGTCTAGTTAGACTGAATATCACTCCAATTAGACTGAATATCACTCCGGTTAGACTAAATATCACTCAGGTTAGACTGAATATCACTCCGGTTAGACTGAATATCACTCTGGTTAGACTGAATATTACTCCAGTTAGACTAAATATCACTCCTGGTTAGACTGAATATCACCCCAGTTAGACTAAATATTACTCCCGGGTAGACTGAATATCACTCAAGTTAGACTGAATATCACTCCAGCTAGCCTAAATATCACTGCCAGTTAGACTGAATATCACTCCAGTTCGACTGAATGTCACTCCGGTTAGACTGAATATCACTTCGGTTAGACTGAATATCACTTCCAGTTAGACTGATTATCACTCCAGTTAGACCGAATATCACTCCCAGTTAGACTGAATCTCACTCCAGTTAGACTGAATATCATTCCGGTTAGGCTGAATATCACTCCTGGTTAGACTGAATATCACTCAGGTTAGACTGAATATCACTCCGATTAGACTGAATATCACTCCGGTTAGACTAACTATCACTCCCAGTTATCCTGAATATCACTCGGGTTAGACTAAATATCACTCCGGTTAGACTAGATATCACTCCCGGTTAGACTGAATATCACTCAAGTTAGACTAAATATCACTCCCAGTTAGACTGAATATCACTCCAGTTAGACTAAATATCATTCAGGTTAGACTGAATATGACTCTGGTTAGACTGAATATCACTCCTGGTTAGACTGAATATCACAGACTCCAGTTAGACTAAATATCACTCTTGGTTAGACTGAATATCACTCCGGTTAGACTGAATGTCACTCCGGTTAGACTGAATATCACTTCCAGTTAGACTGAATATCACTCAGGTTAGACTGAATATCATTCCGGTTAGGCTGAATTTCACTCCGGTTAGACTGAATATCACTTCCAGTTACACTGAATATCACTCTGGTTAGACTGAATATCACTCCAATTAGAGTGGATATCACTCCGGTTAGACTAAATATCACTCAGGTTAGACTGAATATCACTCCGGTTAGACTGAATATCACTCCAGTTAGATTGAATATTACTCTGGTTAGACTGAATATTACTCCAATTAGACTAGTTATCACTCTCGGTTAGACTTAATATCACTCCGATTCGACTGAATATCTCTCCTGGGTAGACTGAATATCACTCCAATTAGACTGAATATCATTCCGGTCAAACTGAATATCACTCCCGGTTAGACTGAATATCACTCAGGCTAGACTGAATATCATTCCTGTTGGACTGAATTTCACTCCGGTTGGATTGAATATTACTCCTGGTTAGACTGAATGTCACTCCCAGTTATCCTGAATATCACTCTGGTTAGACTAAATATCACTCCGGTTAGATGGAATATCACTCCCGGTTAGACTGAATATCACGCCAGTCTGACTAAACATCACTCCCGGTTAGACTGAATATCACTCCCGGTTAGACTGAACATCACTCCAGTTAGACTAAATATCACTCCCGGTTAGACTGAATATCACTCCAGTTAGACTAAATAGCACTCCCGGTTAAACTGAATATCACTCCAGTTGGACTGAATATTACTCCCAGTTAGACTGAATATCACTCCCAGTTGGCCTGAATATTACTCTGATTAGACTGAATATCACTACGGTTAGCTTGATTATCACTCAGGTTAACCTGAATATCACTCGGGTTAACCTGAATATCACTCAGGTTAGACTGAATATCACTCCTGGTTAGCCTGAATATCACTCTGGTGAGAGTGAATTAATCACTCTGGTTAGCCTGAATATCACTCCCGGTCAGACTAAATATCACTCAGGTTAGACTGAATATCACTCAAGTTAGACTGAATATCACTCCGGTTAGACTGAATATCACTCCCAGTTAGACTGAATATCACTCCCGGTTAGACTGAATATCACTCCCAGTTGGCCTGAATATTACTTCGATTAGACTGAATATCACTCCAATTAGACCGAATATCACTCCGGTTAGACTAAATATCACTCCCAGTTATCATGAATATCACTCCGGTTAGACTAAATATCACTCCGGTTAGACTGAATATCACTCCGATTAGACTGAATATCAGTCAGGTTAGACAGCTGAATATCAATCAGGTTAGCCTGAATATCACTCAGGTTAGCCTGAATATTACTCCATTTAGCCTGGATATCACTCCCGTTAGACTGAATATCACTCCGGTTAGACTGAATATCACTCCGGTTAGACTGAATATCAATTAGGTTAGCCTTAACAACACTCCGGTTAGCCTGTTCACGGGTTAGCCCTCTCGATTCCGTTTAAAGTCTACAGAGTCTACTGTCTGCATTTTACCCCTGGTCTGCAGTGTGCATTTTACCCTCAGTCTGCATTTTAGTCCCGGTCCGCAGTCTGCAGACTATCGTAAGCTGTTAACAGTCTCAAGTTTATAAGAAAGGCTAGCAAATAATGATCTACTGAACCTTACCTTCTCTGGGAAAATTTAGCAGTGCTTTTACTTTTCAGTGTTGCATTCGATAGGGTGACCCCAGACGTTTTCCCAGTTTTCATAGCCCCAATAGATCAGCAAAAAGCTTACCTTTGTAAGTCACAGATGATTAGGAATTATCCAGTAAACAGAGAACCTCCTTAACTTCGCGACAATCGATCGCAGACTAGACTTGTACTTCCGGTTCTTTCGGATTTCGATTAACAATTCCTAGAAAACCGGAAGTGGAACAAAAATTTGAGACGAGAAGAATTTAGTCCTGCAGGGGCCTGTTTCTCGAAAGCCCCGGAAACTTTTCGGGCCCGCAAAGCCATTTTTAGCTCACCAGTATTTAAAGACAAAGAGGTTTAAACGCATGAATCTTCTTGTATGATGGGAAACTCTGTTCATAATGTAACGCGCCGAAATAAAGGACAGATCCTTCACGTAAATACACAAGCGTCTTTTTTAATTCTCTTCTCAATTCTCCGACTCAGACCTCTCCCGGAGATCCTATTACAACAGCGTGGTGATTTCGCAACAACAAATAATGTCACGCATTCGTTCGTCACACCATCCCCCCCTAAAAAAAAACCACTAAATTAGAGTTCCCAAAATGTCACTAGCCGGTTATAGAGTAAACAAAGTCTTAGTCCATCTGATAGTCAACTGTCCAGGTCGGTCTCCTTGGTGTTCGACGCGGTCTTTCCTGTGCTTTCTCGGGAATGGCGGGCGCCTTTTCAAATTCCTTAGCTGCCGGCGTAGGCCTGAAGTTCTGCTGCTTAGTTGACTGGACTTCCACAGGGAATCTCGGTGAATGCTGTCAAACGCCTTCTCAAAGTCAATAAAGTTGGCATACAGGGGAACATTCCATTCCTTGCTCTACTCTAGAATTTGTCTCAGGGTGAAAATGTGGTCAGAGCACGAGCGTCCAGGGCGGAAACCTGCCTGTTCCTGCCTGATGTACTCATCCAGTGTTTCAGCCAGTCTTGTATGGATGATCTTGCTGAAGACCTTGCTGGTAATGGGGAGCAGAGGGGAGTTGTTGCAGTCGCCCAAATCACCCTTTTTGGGTAATTTGACAATGAGTCCGGTCTTCCACGCTTCAGGAATCGTCTCGCTCTCCCATATCTCTCTGAATATGCACATCAAAAGGCATGGTGTCTCAGTTTCTTCAGCCTTGAGCGTTTCTGCTGTCACTCCATCTACTCCACCTGCCTTCCCGCTCTTCATCACATTGACGGCAGCTTTCACCTCTTCCATGGTAGGCGGATCTATGCAGATATCCAAGTCCTCTACTGCCGGTAGAATCTCGTCTACCTGTTCAGGTTCTGGCCTATTTAGAATGCTTTCAAAATGTTCCTTCCAGCGTGCCAACTTTTCTGCTTCTTTCGAAAGAACATTGCCATCTATGTCTTTTACAGGGACATCGTTGTTTTTAAAACCATTATTTAACCTTTTTGTTAATTCTATGTAGGGTCTTCAGATCTTGTCTACCAGCAGCCTCTTCTGCCTTAACCGTTAGTCTCTCTACAAATTTTCTCTTGTCTAGTTTGGTCATTTTTTTTCACCTCATGGTCCAGTTTTGAATATTTTCTCCTCAGCTGGTCACGGACGCGTTCAGACTGGGTGGAGTTCATTCGCTGCTTGACTCCTCTCCTTGTTTCTATTTTCTCCCAGGTTTCCCTTTGTATCCATTCCTCCTTCTTCCTCGTTTTAAATCCAAGGACTTTCTCTCCCGCTTCCTTGAAGGCCTGATTAAAGGAGTCGATGTTCATCTCCTGTTCTTCCCCCAGAATTTGGAAGCGGTTCTTCATCTCCCGTCTAAAAGCTTGTCTGATCCGGTCATCTCTCAGTTTACTGGAATCGAACTGGTGGCCCCTTCGCTGTCCTCTTCGTACCCTACGCAACTTCAGTGAAACAACTGCCACCAGCAGGTTGTGATCACTGGCGACATCTGCTCCTCTGTAGGTCTCTCCACTTTCCGTTGATTAGAATGTGGTCTATCTGGCTTTTAGTGGCTTCACTGGGCGAGGTCCAAGTCGTCTTGTGGATATCTCTGTGCTGAAACAAGGTACCTCCTATGACCATGTTGTTTTTATCGCAGAAGTGGCACAGCCTTTCTCCATTGTCATTGATGGTACCTATACCATGCTTCCCCATCACACGGTCCCTGCCAATGTTATTGTTCCCGGGTCTGGCATTCAGGTCTCCCAACACCATAAGAAGGTCAGGTGTTGGGACCTCATCAGTCACTGCCTGCAGCTGGTCGTAAAAAGCATCTTTGTCTGCCTCCTCAGCATCTTCAATGGGAGCGTAGCACACTATCACCGTCAACTTGGTGTACTTTGAGTTGAACCTGGCCTTGAGCAGTCTCGATCCTAATGGTTTCCATTCGATGAGTGTCCTCTCCATTTTCCTGCTCATGATCAAGGCCACTCCCTCTGTGTGATGGCCATTCAATCTGCCCGAATATAGTATGGTATGTCCGGATGCTAATGTTCTCTGTCCCGACTCTGTCCAACGAGTCTCACAGACCCCAAGGATGTCAAGGCCGTAATTATGAAACTCTCTTACCACTTGGGCAAACTTGCCGGTCTGGTACAAAGTTCTTACATTCCAACAGGCTATTCTAGTCTTCACTTTCGGTTTCAAGGAATCTACAGCCGGGGTGTCAACTCCCTGCAGGGTTTGGTTGACTTCCGTCATCTGTCTAGTCCCCTGGCTAGTATCATCCCCGTCACCACCAATGATTGTTTCTTTGACGTTGGTTTCCGTAACAATAAATCTTTTACGGGATGGGGTTGTTAGCCCAATGCCCAACCCTCCTCTTTTACCCGGGCTTGAGACCAGCTGGATATACTTAGACTGGACTGGCTATACCCAGGCAGAGTTACGCGCGGATAGAATCGCAAGAAAATTGGTCGCCAGCGCAAAACGGAAGACTTGACTGGGTAGGGGGTGGGGGCCCTACCACCCCAACCCCCGCGTGCATCGCGCTCGCGTCGCTCGCTTTTTCTTTCGCGTGGGTAAATAGAGACTAGACTGTGAACAGTCTAACTGCTGACTGCAGACTGCAAGCTGGGGTTAAAATGTAGACTGAGGGTAAAATGGAGACGGCCACAGACCAGGGGTAAAATGCAGACTGCAGACTACTTAAAAATTGGTTCATGCTTAGCGTGCGGATGCACGCGAGAAGTTTAGAGAGCACGAAAGAAGCGCAAGCGTTGCTCGAGGCGATAGCCGAGAGCAACTCTTAACTTCTTGAGTGCTCTCCAAACTTCCCAAGTACATCCATAACTCGATATACGCACAGCTAAAAGCATGAACCAATTCTTTTATAACATGGCGACAA